GGCGCCCCCCGGCGGGGAGCCGCTGCCTCCCTGGGGGTCGGGCCCAGCGGAGGATTCGCTGCTGTTGGGCTCCTAGGGGTGCCCAGCGCCTGCTGCCGTGGCCTGCGCAAGCCCGTGAGCGAGCTCTCTGGCTGCCGGAGTCCGCAGGGTGGTGAGCGCCTGCGTAAAGTGTCTCCAGGAAGCGTCTGCAGCAGGAGACCATCCGGCCCGAGCACCCCTCGTGGTTTCCGAGGCGACTGTGACTTCCTGGTTATTCCTGCCCTGTAAATCCAGCCTCACTCCCCGGACGCTAATGGCACAAGTGCTGCAGCACATCTCCCCGGGGGTTAGAGTTAGCCTGGTCACCGGTTCGTTGGCGCTTTCTCCCCCCGCCACGTGGTCCAGCCAGCCAGGCCGGGTGGGTGACGTGATGGGCCCGGAGCAGTCCTCACTGCCTGGGCCGTGGTGGGGCCGGGGCAGCTCCCCGCAGCCTGTGATCAACCGTTTAATCAGATTGTTTAACCCCTTAACTCTGCTGGGTGGTTTTTACATCCCTAATCCGCGGGGGAGGGGTGCCAGCTGCTCCGGTGCAGAGCCCAGTGTAGACGGGTTCGGGAGAGACGCTCGCGAGGAGACCGGAATCCGCGGGCGGGCTGCTCTCCGGTGCCACCTTGGGGGCCGGTCTCCTCTCCCTGTCCCTAGCGGCCACGCTTTGCGGAGCGCCCCAATTGGAGGCTGGCGAGGGGGCACGTCCCAGAATGCAGTGTGCTGCCCTGCGAGACTGGCCACGTGGGAGGGGCCCCTGGATCCGGGGTTGGGCAGCGAGGCTGGTTTGTAAGGGGAATGCCGGGCGATGCTGAGCCCCGGACAGAGATCCGGGACGTGGGAGCGGCTGCCTGGCAGACTATTGCAGAGGCTGTAATTCTGCGTGCTAGGCAGTGTCTAATCTGCTCTGGAGAGGATGGGGTGGCGCCAAGTCCCGCTGAATCACAAATCTTGCATGCCACACGAAAGGGCTTGCGCTAGGCTGTCCCCTTGCAGCAGCACACGGCTTGGCACGCTTAATTTGCAGCCCAGCTCCTGTTCCTGCCACCAGTCTCTGCCTAAGCTCTGAAGTTGCAATAAATATCTTTTATACCCTGGTCATGCATAAAAACCAGCCTCTAATCCCGGCTCCCTTCCGCAGAGGAAATGGCTTTCAGAAAGAAGAGGCTCTGCATCAAATTCATCCCCCGGGATTCGACGGAGGCGGCTATTTGCGATATCCGAATTCTGGGCAGGGCTAAGCAGGCCCCTCCACAGTACACGTTCATAGGGTAAGTAGCCCCTCCTCCAGCAGCACGTCCCAATGTCGTTTATTCTCATCGGTTAGTCGACTGGGCTGTAGTCCCCAGGCAGCCCCTGTCCGGGGGAGGGGTCTGTGCTCCCGGACCCGGCACGAGTCGGAACTGAGCCAGCTTCCTGCCCGCCCGGCTCCTAATACACTTCAAATGCAGAGCCGGTGCAGGGGCAGGTCCAGGACCCAGTGCGAGCCGGGACCGAACCGGGCTGCTGGCCAGCCTGCTAACACGTGTGCTGGCAGGGGGTGGGAGGACATGGGTATAGTCTGTAGCATTGACCGATACGCTTTTGCTTGTCGGTTAATCGACTCCACTGTTACACCCCCAGTCCCAAGCCCAGGCACCGCGGCTTCCTTCAGGAATCTCCGGGGGGAGCCGTGTTAGCCTGTAACAGAAAAAATAACCCATAGTCCTGCAGCACCTTAGAGACGAACAGAACATGGAGATGGGAGCAGGAGCTTTCGTGGGCACAATCCGCTTCTTCCAAGGAGGGGAGTGGAAGGGGCCTAGGTTCCAAATCAGTAGCTGGGGAAGAGAAGGGATCCCGGCGGGGGGGAAAGGGGAAAAAAAGAGAAAATGGTCAGTTCGAGTGTCCATGCCAAAGGAAGCTGAATGAGTGGATACTAAGTGCTCTCAAGAACCCCGTGCTCGGGTTGTACGTCCTTAGGATGTGGATGTGGCGGGCCATCCACGCACGGGCTTGGTTTAGACCTCAACTCGTAAGTGAAGTTAAGTTCTGCAGCCTCCCTTTCGAGCTGGTTTTTGAAATTGGCTTGCAGTAGGACGGTAACCTTACGGAGTGCCCGGGCAAGTTACGTAAGCCAGTGGGAGTTTGCAAGTGTTAACGATGGTGAAAAAGCTCTGAGATCGCTGAGGGAAGGTGAGATCTATGGGGAAAGTGTTACTCGGCTCGGGGGGAGAGCTCCCCTTTGTGGCAGTGATGTTTCTGTTTCTGGGTGGAACTCGCCCCCGATATCCCGTGTGCGCTCTGCGTTTGCTAATGACTTCTCTGTTCCTTGCAAAGGGAACTTAACAGCATGGGCATTTGGTACCGAATGGGCCGGGTTCCACGCAACCATGACTCCTCGCAGCCGGGGACACCTCCTTCTCAAGTACCAGCTTCCACTCCAGCGCCCAACCTGCCTAGGTAGGTTCTGCCTCTTCTCAGCGTTCTCTCTAGCTGCCTCCCGCGCCACAGCCAGCGGGCACGGTCCCAGTGCAAATGAGCACGCGCTCCACCCTGAGAAGTTGTCAGTGCCTGGGAAGGGGTGAAATGGTCTCAAAGAGCGAGCACGGCAGCCCTCCTTCTCAAGTACCAGCTTCCACTCCAGCGCCCAACCTGCCTAGGTAGGTTCTGCCTCTTCTCAGCGTTCTCTCTAGCTGCCTCCCGCGCCACAGCCAGCGGGCACGGTCCCAGTGCAAATGAGCACGCGCTCCACCCTGAGAAGTTGTCAGTGCCTGGGAAGGGGTGAAATGGTCTCAAAGAGCGAGCACGGCAGCAGTCGCTAGGCTAGACAGCTGCTCCCACCATCCCCGCCCCCCGCGAGAAACTGGAGTGGGGCCATTCGTGCCCTTGGTGGATCCTGCAGGCTCCGTATGTGAGAGCAGGGGACGGGTTTCCCCCTAATCCCCAGATTCCCTCTTCTCAGCTGTGGCCCAACCTGCAATTTTAAGCCCTGCTGCTGCAGTTGTGGGTGGCGGGGCCAGCACACCAGGCACTGCAGAGCAAGGCCTAGAGCTGCTGGTGTAGCTGGCACCAGGCGGGTTTGAACCTGGGCCCTCCGGAGCTTAGTGTCGGAGCCTCTACGGCTTGAGCTACAAAGCCAGCCGGCTCCGCCTAGGCTGCGGAGCTCCCTTGTTCTTACCTCGCTGTCAGTGGGCTAAGTGCCCCGGCGTGGCACAGTGACCCACACTAGGGGTGTGGGCTACACTTAGCAAAGAAACGCTGTGTGCAATGGTGAGTCCCTCTGAACTCAGCCCCGGCGGCCCCCAGGCACCGCGCGTCCTCCCGAGACCCCTCGGTGGGCCGGGCTTTCCTCAGCCTGTTCAGCGTGGGGCAGATACGTGGAGCGTTGCAGGAGAGGTTTGGGATTTGCGTTCCGAAGGTGGGGTTGCCAGGTGGCAGGGGAAGTGTGGGGAATTTTTGGCTCAACCAATTTTTTTCCCGCCATGTTCAGTATTTTTTGTGAAAGTATCCTGCAACCTTATCCGAAGGAGACTGGCAGGGTGGGAATTCTGTGGAGACTCAGTTCAGTGAACTGCGTGGGTAGGATATGCTGCCGGTATCCTTGGCGGTTTTGCTTTTCTGTACCTTTGCAAGAGTGGCAGTCTTACAATTGCCCCATCAAGGCTTGGCACGGGGGGTGTGGTGACTTTATCCCGGTTAAGGCCCGTATCTGGGCACTGGCCTGCTCCCAGGCTCCTAAGCGTACTTGCAACCTAGTGTATTGTGGAGACTTCTCAGCTGTCCCCTCTGGCTTGTTTTGGACCAGTCACGTCCCTGGAAGCTGGGCTGTTTCTCTCGTGCTGTGTGGGAGCAGCCTTGCTGCAAACCCCCACTTGCACCCAGGCCCCGTGCAGAGCTGTGGGGCTGACGGTCCCTCGTGGGGATATAAGACCAGATCAGCACCAGGAGCCCTGCAGGAGTTCGCCGGTTGTTTTATCTGGAGCCTTGGGCTTGTTTCAAAATTCCACCCGCTGCATAAATAGCAAAGGCCTGCGAGATCTACGGGAGACGTTACTGTGACCCTCTTCCCTCTGGCCGTGAGGAAGCTGCAGGCAAGTCGCTGTGGTGACGGGGACATGCTCCGAGCACACGGCTGTCCTGAATCACTCGGTGCGGAAGGGTCTCTTGATGGCCGAGCAGGGAGGGCCCTACGCAGGTCCCGGGGCGGTTGGGAACAGGGCCAGAATTGGAGCTGCGAGCATCAGCGCCTGTCTGAAGAGAAGTGTTTACAAGGCTTATATATTTTATAACCTCTTGTTGTACAGTTTATGGTTTACAATGGCTGCAAGGAAATTGGATCAGTTTTGTTTTACTCACCAAATAAAACAAATGTCAAAATAGTCAATATAAAATGTATTCTAATTTGGCTGAGTTAAACCAGCCAGTATGCAGTGGAATAATTGAACGTTACATTAATTCCTCCTAGTAAAAAGCACCTGTCTGTAGCTGGCGCTGCTCTCATGCCCCGTGTATGATTTGCAGGTAACTCTTACGCTGGAATGAAAACAGCCCAGTCATTCAAGGCATCTATTCTGATCTGGGTTTCTTCCATTGATTATTTATTGTCCAATATATTTTTAGAAATAGAAATGTCTAGAAAGCCGCTCCTTGCAAACATTGCAGGTTCAGAGGAGAAATGTCTGTTACTTGAAACGCTGTATTCACACTTCGGCAGGGGAGTGATTTATTCAAGCGTAGTGTCCATGGAAGATGATAGTTCCACGTAACTTGGTATGTTAACATGCCCGTTGAGATAAGGGAGCGCACTTGCAGCCCGTTTGCCATATTAGTCCGTGCAGGTTTATTCCAGAAGTAGCAGCAAAAGTCTTTTCTGAACAAGCAGGGACGCCAAGGCAGCCTCACCGACGAGCCCAGGACGCAAGTCGTGTTATTGAGCGTTTAGCTTGGTCAGAGAGTTGAAAGGATCCGCTTCTGGTTCTGGCTCGTTTTTATGAAATACCTCGACATGGTGGCACTAGGCAGAGAGTTCAGGGCTGCGGGAAGCTCGCTAACCCTGGAGAGATGTACGCACAGACAACGGCACCGCAGTGAGTTACTGCAGAGCTGAGCCCTTCCACGGGGGCGCTTCTTCATACATCTGGTTTCATTTTGGGGACATCTGGAGCATTATGTCCAGTTCTAGGCACCACGTTTCAGGAAAGACGTGGAGAAATTGGAGAAGAGCAAGAGAAGAGCAACAAAAACAATGAAAGGGCTAGAAAACATGACCTCTGAGGGAAGACTGGAAGAACTGGGTTTGTTTAGTCTGGAAAAGAGAAGACAAGAGGGACAGGATAGCAGCTTTCAAGTACCTAAAGGGGGAGGGGAGAAAAATTCTTCTCCTTGGCCTCTAATGATAGGACAGGAAGCAAGGGGCTTAAACTGCAGCGAGGGAGGCTCAGGTTGGCCATTCGGAAAAACTCCCTGCCTGGCAGGGGGGTGAAACTGGGTAAATTGCCTGGGGAGGTTGTGGCATCTCCATCGCTGCGGATATTTAAGAGCAGGTTGGACAGACACCTGGCAGGGATGGTCTAGAGGGTGCTGGGTCCTGCCGTGAGGGCAGGGGACTGGACTCGATGCCTCTCAAGGTCCCTGCCAGTGCTAGTGTTCTAGGAAGGGCCATTCAGAAATCCATCTTCTCTTGCTCTGGGGTTTAGTGCCTCGCTGGGTTTCTCAGGAAGCGAAGACTGTGGTGGGAATGAAACTGTCCTTCTGCTCTACGGACGTCCCTGTTCATTGGCCCGCTTGCTGCACCCAGGATCCCTCCTCTCCCTACTAGGAGGAGGGGGGATGTTGGTTTTGTCGCTCAGGCGCTCTCTGGTCCGTGGGGGTCCCTGCTCCGAGTGCCTGGGCCGGTGGTCCCTGAGACCGAGTCGCCAGCACCAACGGGAGCGTGTGCCGTGAGCGCGACCTCCATTGATGCACGCCGAGTCGCTGCAGGGGTTTCGTGCTGCGGGCAGCGTGGTGCCGCACACTGGCCGCTTCTCCTGCGAGAGGCGACGGCGCGAGGCCCGTTCCGTGGGCCGGAGCAGCCCGCTGCAGGAATGTGGCATGTGGAGGGTTGCTGGGCTCCCCTAGGCCTGTGGGTGAGCTGCGGAGCCGCGCCCTGGCGCTCAGGAGCGAGATGTGGCCCTGCTGAGGGGGCTGGTGGGTGTCACGTCTCTGGCGCTGCGCGGCGATGGCTGCACCCTCGCCAGTGGCAAGGCGGTTCCCCAAGAGTGAGAGCTACGGGCCTCGCCTTGCTGGGTGTGACTGGCCGGCGGATCGCAGGGCGCGGCCCACGTGGCCAGGGAGGGTCAGTCACGTGTTCGGTGTTTAGGGAATAAGCTGGTGACAGCTCCGTGCCCAGCTGGCCCAGCCCGCAGCTCTGCAGGGCGGGGGGGAGGGGGGTCCGGCGTTCTGCCCTGCCCTGGCGCTCTCAGTAAATCGAGCCTCTGCCTTGCCGGGCGGGCGGGCGCTGGGTCTTCTGGCAAGCCTAG